TTCCGTTGGTTTATTGTGATAATTGCTTATGCACTAATCCAGGGAAACTCAGTGATTAGTTTTGTGGTGCTCAACATGACTGCATCATTTTGTCCCTTTGGAATATGATAATTTAGGAAATTCTACATTAACAATATGCTTGCCTCCAAATAATCCATGCTTAATGTTTCTTTTTTTCAGCCAGACAGTTCCATTGGTTTATTGTGATAATTGCTTATGCACTAATCCTTTATATTTTTATTTATATGCACATTTAATGTTAGGCAGAGATAACAGTTGCAAAGTTTCAAAATCGGGTCCATGTATATGGGGTAGAAGGTGGCTTTCCTGTGTTTTTTGATGTTGATGGGCGAGGCACAGAAATTTTCCCCACAGGTTTCTCATAATTATTTTCTTTCTTCTTTCTTTCCTTGTCTTCTCCCTTCTGTTCTCGTTCTCTCTTTTTTTTTTTTTTCAATCTTTAGTTTCAATCAACTTGTTAATGGTCCTATGCCACTGAAAATTGTTATAATATGATGATCTTAAGGTGAAAAATTATGTAAAAATTTCCAATAGTTGCTGATTCCAAGAGGTTATCAGTTATATAAAAGTGATTCTCCAAGTTTGATGATGACAAATGTATATATTAAATTTTGTTTCCTTTTTACCCATCTTGCAGTTTTTGCTCTCTGGACGGTCCCTGAACTATTGCCTTCTTTTATACTGAAGGGGGGTGAGGTCTCTCAATTTGTCATTGGAGGAGCAGATTTGATGTTCCCCGGTATTAGTGTGCCTCCTGAAGGTCTACCTTTGTTTTCAGCTGGGGAGCCATGGGCGGTCAAAGTTCCAGGGAATCCAGCACCTATTGCAGTAAGCTCCTTTTAATTTCTCTTACTCTTTTTCTTTTTTTCCATTGCTAGTTCTCTACACACATATTGTTATTATACCCGTCAGACTTCGGAAAAGCTATTGATCTTTTATGCAGGTTGGCTCTACCACTATGAGCAGCAATGAAGCCTTGAAGGCCAATTTGCGTGGGAAGGCTTTAAGGATAACTCACTATTATCGTGACTTACTTTGGCAAGTATTAGCTGGAAATCAAGAGAGAAGTAAATTAATAAGTAGCTTGATAATAACGTGCCTGTTTGATCTTTGCAGGGAATCAGTTGAGGGCCATTATGTGCCAAATGCAGGTTTCTTTGAAGATGTTGTCTTTGAGGATCCAGCTTTGTCATCTTCATGTCAAGCTTCTTATTCTTGTGAAGGTTCTGCTGATGACCCTAATAATCAACAAAATGCCATTGACAAGAAAAATATTGGGGAATCTGATGAAACTAGTGATGTCATTTCTGAAACAAATGCTGCTTCTTCCACGCAAAATGATCCCCAGAATGCTGTGGAAGAAATTGCTGAAATTGTGGGTGATTTGAAGTTAGCGGATAGTGTAGAAGCTGCTCCACAGAATGTTGAGGAGCAATTATCTTTATCTACTGAGGATGTGGATTCTCACTTGGACAAATGCCTTCTGCAAGCCTTGCATACAACAGTGAAGGATAAAGACCTCCCAATGCCTGGAAGCACATTGTGGTAAGATGCATACAGTGATGTCTATGTGCATGTTCTCTCTCTACTGTGCTACTCAGCCAAAGGCTTTTACAATCATGTTGGCCCTAAGATTACCAAATTTCTCAAAATTCAATAAATCTGATTGAAATTTCTTAGATATAGATGTTTTGGGAATCTTGTAATGCTTTCTAGATTTTCTGCAAATATAGAATAGAATATTGTAAATTGATATTTGAGATAATGATAATCAAACTACTAACATGTTGTACATCTCAACACATGCACAAATTGTAGTTAATCTTGATATTGCCATCAGATTGTATCACATGAATCTACAGCCTCATGGGCATTTTCTTTAGGTTTTAAATGCTTGTAAGATTTATTTGAAGCTCTCAGGCAATGGGGACAACTGTTCTTATGATTTTTTGGTCACTTTCCTACCTTTCTCGGCACATCATTTTTTAATACATGCTTTCTAATGTATCACATGACATTTCATTTGGAGTTTATATTTTTTTGCATCTTTCATTTGCATAAATGTTTATTTAGGTCTGGGAATGCTCCCATGATTTTGCTTTTGATTATCACAAAATGAGGTCATTTTTTTTCCTTGTCTCATTTCTTACTCTCCTAATATTAATTGCGGTTGGCGCAGGTCAAACCATGTCTTACCTTGTAGGCCTTCAGGTATCACATTAGATATCAAAAAGTCATCCCACAAGAAGTTATCAAAGTGGTTACAAGCTAAATCATCGACAGGACTGGTATCTCTCCCACTGCCCCCCTTTAAACCAGTAATCTAATATTTTAGAGTCCATTTCTTATTGTCAAAAAGTATATAAATGTAAAAATCATTCATCTTGTTTCATTCTGTACTGCTATTATTCATCTGTTTACATTTAAATGTTATGTTGTATTTATATGGTACTGCAGCTGCTGCCGAAGTACCTATTGATTCTGAATTGCAGCAGGCATGCAAGTATTTATTACTTGAAAGAATGAAATGAGCTAGTCTTGATATTCTGTTTTTATACCCATCATAACGACCAAATCTGCTGTAGAAAACATTTCTTTTGAGTTCTGCACAAGACTGACTCATGCTTTGGTAACCACATGCTTTGGTCCCATTCCAAATTCAGTTTTTATTTTTATTTTATTTTTTATGTGAAGTGAGAAAGTAGGGATATGACAGTTAAGTCAAATGCTGAATTGTTTTATATAAAATGTCTATTGGGTTGAAGCCTAGTTGGTCACTTGTTTAATAATTCCTGTTTATTTTGCCACTTAAACAGATCACTGTAAAAGAAGACAAGTATAAGAAGGAAATTATGTTATTATCTGTTAACCGTGGTCATCCAGACTACTTATCCTTCAAGCCAGAGAAGCGGCAAGTCCAGAAAGTTGATCAGGCTGGCGATCATCCAGCCAGTGAAAGTCGTTCCCCAAATGTGGTAGATGTGGCAGAGGTCTATAAGTCAAGTGTGCATGTCAATCCTATTTTTGCTTCTGTTGGAGCTGACATGGGGAAACTTTATTCGGCTTCAGATGCTTCTGATGTTGTCTTTAAGTACATTGAGAAAGAAAATCTGGTTAAACCAACAAACAAAGCCATTGTGGTTTTAGATGCAACTTTATGTGATGCATTGTTCAAAGGAGCCATCAAGAAAGGATCCACTTACCCAACAGAGATTCACAAGAAAGATTTAGGAACAACATTTATAAGTCGGATGCAGGCTCATCACATTGTGACCAGAGGAACAGAGTCAGTTGTCCGGAAAGGTGCTTTAAAAGCAATTCAGATTGTTACAGAACGAAGGCAAGGTAACAAAAAGGTTACAAAAGTTTCTAGTTTGGAAACTTTCCTTATGG